GGCTGGGTGTTGGGAGTAGCCTGTGACGAATCACCCCACTATTTGGGGCCTGTGGCAAGGCAGCACATTATGTAAGTGCTGAGTGAAGTAACATCCCTCCCCACCCCAACCCCCAGTATCCAGAAGGAAGGAAGAGACCAGCCCCTTGCTCTTCAAGGCATGTCCTGGCCTTTATGGGCAGGGAGAGAGCTGGAAGGACCAGCCCAGCTGTGGCTAAGAGGTGGAGTGTAAGCCGTTTCTACTCCTGTTTGTAGTGCTGATAGAAGCAGAACTTTAAAATAGTTTTATTTTATTTATTGCTGCATATGCGTGTATATCTGTGTGAGAGTGTTACGTGTGAGTGCAGATTCCTGCAGAGGTCAGAATTGAGTGTCTGAGTCCCTGGGGCTGGAATTGCAGGAGGCTGTGAGCCTCTTTATGGGGTTCCAGGAACTGAACCCAGGTTTTCTTCACAAGCCATAGATACTCAACCACTGAGCCATCTCTCCAGCCCCCTACATTTAACTTTAAAAAAATAGGGCCTAGAGAGATGTCTCGTTAGGTAAGTACACTAGTTCTTGTAGAGGACTTGGGTTTAGTTCCCAGCACCCATGTGACAGCTCACAGCTGTTCCTGGGGATTCAAAATGTCCCCTTCTGACTACCACAGGCACCAGGCACACACATGATGCACATACTTATATACAGGCAAAACAGATATTAAAAGTGAATTTAGATTTATTTTATGTGTACGAATGTTTTGCCTGTATGTATGTATATGCACCATGTATGCCCCCCAGAACTGGTGTTACAAATGGTTTTGAACCACCATCTAGATGGTGGGAATCAAATCTGGGTCCCTGTAATAACAACAAGTGCTCTTAACCACTTAGTCATTTCTCTAGCCCCAGTTCTATTTACTTTTATTTTAAAAGATTTGCTTAGTTTTCTTTTATGCACATGGGTGTTTTGCTTACATGCATGTCTGTGTACTACGTGTATCCAATGCCCATGGAGACAGGAAGTGGGTGGTGGGTCCTCTGGGACTGGAGTTCAAGATGTGAGCCTTCATATGGCTGATGTGAACAGATCCCTCAACTGCTGAGCTCTCTCTCCATTGGTGACTGGAGGCTTCCCCATCCAGCACATGCTTTTTGGTCGCCCTGACTAAATCATGCCTCACTGCAGGCACGTGTGAGGTGCCCTGGAATCTGAAGCTGTGCAGCAGCTGCTCTCCAGGCACTTAGTGGCACCTTGGTGAGGGATGTGCAGTACACTGTGCTTCCTTGCTCACTGGGCCTAGGTGGTACTTCAGCCTTGACGTAGAGTAACAAGTCCTTGGTGACATGACCTAAAGTGCCTACCTGTTGAGAATTGTTAGAAGAAACCTAGAAAATGTCTGTGAAGTACTGGAGACAGGGCTAAGTAGCTTGTCTTTTTTCCTCCACAGATTTATCACCGGATCCCCAACTCAGACCCATCATCTAGCAAAACCAAGCAGATCATCTCCAACATCAGGACACAGAACCTTCCCAACTGCCAGCTCATCTCCCGAAGCCACTACTCGCCCATTTACCTGTCGTTTATCATGCTCCTGGCTGCTCTGAGCTGGCAGTACCTGAGCACACTGTCCCAGGTCACAGAAGACTACATCCAGAGAGGAGAACACTGATGTTGTTTAGCTGAAGTGGAAGTTCACGGGAAGTGGGTTTTTCCTTCTCCTTCAGCTGGATTTTGACTTCCCTTGTTTTTCTTCCTACTCTAATCTTTCAGAGAACTGAGTGTGGGACCTTTAAGAACTCTGCAGAGGAAGGGAATGCCTTTCCCTCAGCAGCCTGGTGCTCGCTGGGTCGTGGTCCCTCTGCCTCTTGTAGCCACTGGCAGCGTGCTGACTGCTGCACTTTAGATGGAATGGCCACATGTGATGGTCACAAGATCCTAGTGAACCTGGCTAGAATGCTGATTGGATTTATTTAATTTGAAACAGCCTTTGAATACGCATCACAATAGAAAACGAAGTGACTGTCTGGTCCTTGTCTTTCTCATCAGTTTGACAGTGGAAGGTGTTAATCGTCATCATTCTAGGTGATGCTACCAAGCTTCCCGAGAGTGCAGGCTTGCCTTTCTCACCCAGGGGGAGCTTAAGCAGTCAGCGATGCAGTTGGCCATTTGTCAGAAGCATGTCCTCCAGCAAAGGCTTTTGATCTTGAGATGTTTATAACAGCATGTAATGCACAAGGCCCTAGACTTGATCCCCAGCACCACAAGGTAACAAACTAAAATCCCTTGTAATGACTGAGTTGTCAAGTACCGCTCACCTGAAAGCCCAGACAGATGGCATAGATAGGGTCATATGTCAGCACAACAGAGCCAGTTAGCAGGGACTGTCCCTGTGTTGCTGATGGAGGGTAAGCAGGCAGTACGATCACCTGGCTGCTTTAGCCTGCCACTGGCATTCCCCTACCAGCCATCTCTACAGTCATTTGTTTTGGCTTTTCTTGAAGTCTCAAGACAAATGATGACAGGCAGGAAGACCAGTTCTATATTGGTAGGTTTTTAATTCCAGCATGGTTAGTTGGCTACATTGTCATGATAGCTGCTGGCAACCTGTGTATCTGAAAACCAGTGTTTCAGGCACAGCAGTGGAGAGGCTCTAGGCAAACATGTTGACCTGTTCCCATTATAATAAGATACCTGAGGTCAGCTACTTTTTTTTTTTTTTTTTTTAACCAAGGAAAGAGGTTTATTTATTTTACAGCTTAAAGTACAAGATGAGGTGGTCCCCATCTTCAGCCCTTGGAGCACCTTGTGGGAAATGACCCTACAGTGGTGAGAGGCTGTGCAGGAGAGAGCACATGACAGAAAGCAGGAATCAAACACTGTAACTGTAGCTCAGGTTGGCCTACAAGTCTATGTAGCCTTGAACTTAATGGTGATCCCACTGCCTCAGCCTTCTAAATGTAAGAGTTAGAGGCATGCACCACTCCACTCTTGTCCTCAGAGCTTGGTCTCAGGAGACCTAACTCGAAAACCTGACCACCTTGCACTGGGCCTCAGCCACCTGTCACTCTGTGAACCAAACTTCCAGCATACTCTTTGGGGACACTCAGAGCAAAGAGACATATATAGCATACAGTCTGCTCCCCTCTTCAGCCCGCTGGCTACGTTGACTTCATCACTGACGAACTTCAGCCAGCTCTGTGGTCCATTCAACTTTGTATGTAAGCACAGATTTCCTTGCTGGACCACTGGGGCATGGAGACTTCACTTAATTGGTCATTTGATGCTCTCGGCCTTGAACATATATCACCATGTTGAAACTAGTCAAAGTAATGTTACATGGTTCTTTAACTTCTGTTCTCATGGAAGCACAAAGGTCTTAATGTTCATCCTTTTTGGAAGCTACAGCTTAGTAATCCCAGCATGTGGTAGGTGGAGGCAGGAGTTGTTCAAGGTCCTCAGTAACAGAGGTGGGCCTGGGCTACACCAGACACTGGCTCTAACAAAACCTGGGGGCTGTAGAGATGGCCTCAGCACCCCAGTGCTCTTCCAGAGGTCCAAAGTTCAATCCCACAGTGGTTCACAACCATCTATAATGAGATCTGATTCCTTCTGACGTGCACAAAGAGAGCACTCATAAACTGCATGGATAACTCTAAAAAGGGGATGGGGGCTAACCCTCTGAAATTAACTTCTTTTCCTTGGCGAATAAAACAGGACACCAAGTTCCACTTGAATTTCAGATAGTTTGTATCCAAATATTTTGGTAGCAGGAAGTGAGATCCCAAAGGCTGTGGTTCAGTGTATTATAATCCGTCTAGAACAAGACTTCCGACTAAGTTGGTCTGGCATGTTACCTAATAAATACCTAGGACCTGTTTGAAGGCCACTGCCCAAATTATAATTAATCTAAAATGACCTAGTCAGCCTACAAATGACAATTCAAAGGCCTTGCACTGACCCTCTCAGGTTTGAGGACCACACTCTTACAACAGTGCGTGTTCTAGTCTAATGTGTAGAAAGGGAGGGATGGGTAAACGGAATCAAAAGGCCCTGTGGGCGGGCTGAAAAGGAAATGCTCCTAGTAGCTTCAGGGTCTCATTGTAGACCAGGTTGGCCTCAAACTCCCAGAGATTTGTTTGCCTCTGCCTCCTGAGTACCCATTTGTCATCTTGTACCCAAGGAAGACGGCTCCTGACAAGCCCAAAAATGAGCCACAAGGATAGTCTGGTTATGGAAGACATCTAAAGCCACCCCCAAGTATGTGAGAACAAGACTGGTTTCTCAGGCTCCTTCAGTGAGGGAGGGGATACCCAAGGTCCTCTCTTAATTTAGCCCATCTTCACTGGCTATAGGAGGGTAGGGAGTTGCAGGTGGGCATGTGGTGAGGCAAGAAAGGAATGTAGGAGGGACTGTTGATGGAATGGAGGACAGGCAGAACTGTCCTCCAGTACTGAAGCCCCAGTACCCAAGTCAGGTTGCCTCAACCTCTGAGTTACATTTCTACACTCGCCAGGCATTCAGAGCTTCTTTGATAAAGTTCTGATTGCCAACACAGGAAGGCAAGCTTCCTCAGATTCCAGAGAACCAGCCCCTTATTTAGCAGGAAAAGTAACATCCACAGAAAAACGAAGCCAACTGCAGAACGACGAAGCCAATGCTGATTAGTGAGGGCCCCCCCCCCCACTCCCTCTGAACTACAAAAAGTCCATGAAATCCAGTGACCCAGAAAGCTTAAAACATAGTGGACAAGCTTTGGCTCACTCCAGGGAAATGTAGACCTCTCTAGGAAGATGGCAGCCCTGGTCTTATGTGAATACATATGAGTGCCTGCCTTGGTTAATTAAAGGTGAAGTGAGAGAAGCTCACTTATCTCTAAGCAGGAATAAGTGCTCCAAGGCGTGAGCAGTTCTAGGTGTGGTTTCTGAGAGTGACAGGAAACCAGGGAGAGAGACTCTACAAAAGCCTTGAAAATGCAGCACAGAACCGCTCACCCTGCCTTCAGAAGGCTGAGAGCCGAAGTCAAGCAGAGGGAGAAATGGTTTATTGGCACAGTCATTCCTTGTTAAACTGACAGAGTTAAGTGGTGACAACAACAAAAAGTAGGTTTTTCCCAGACTAATTTCATTGTGGTGTCTGTCGGTCACTCAGCAAACCGTGACCATGTAGCTTGTTTTAGGCCATACAATTGGAGATGATCTTTAATACCAGTACAGCTCTTTATACTCAGTTGAGGTACACAAAGCATAAAATCCTATTGAGAAAGCATTGGCTGAGGACAGGACCAAGGAGAGCTGGCCGCATTACCAATGAAGATGGATGCAGATGCCTTGGGAAAAGGTAGTGTTCTCCAGAGAACTGCGTTGGGCCGACAATGCCTGCCATAGCCCTAGAAGTGAGTAGCTTCAAGGTGCAGCTGACGGGTGGCATCTGTCCTCTCACCACGAAGTTGGTGTACAGCAGGCACTACAAACAGCACTAGTCTAGGGAGAGGCTAGGATGCAGGCTGTGGTAACTGTCATGGGATAGGCTAGAAGGAAGCCAGGTAAGGAGAGAGTGCTTGGAGGGTAGCTCTGATGGCAAGCAGCTCTAGTCCAGTCCCAAACCTTGCCGAAAGCTTCATGCATGTCAGGTGAATTCAAAGAAACAAAGACTCTCCTGTCTGCCTCACTCTCTGCCAGGGTTACTAAATTGTGGGAAAAGCCCCTAAGGACTGGACAATCAAGTCACAGCAGGTTAAAATCTTCCCCAGTACTGCTCAGTGCGTGGGATTCCAGCCACAATTTCTGATTCAATTCCACAGTGGTTCTCTCCTCTGAGGATTTTAAAGAAGCCTGGGATGGAGAAAAAGTAAGGTGCTTTTAAAGTATGCTCTGAATTTGGTCTAACACTTATTTTCATATGATGCCCCACTCTATAACCGAGGCTGGCCACATAATACACTCCATCCTAAGTGCTAGGGTTACAGGAGCAGAGATTACAGCCATTATGTCCAGTGGCCTTAAGCCTGACCCTTGTTGGTATACTCAGATTCATCCAGACCTCGGGGTGAGCTACCTGATGCCCAGCATCATCTGAGACCATCCCCTCAGTTCCCTTCATATGCTGCTCGTGCAATGGGAACCGTATACAAAGCCATGTGGAGCTCTGGGGCTGAGATGGTTCTAGAACAAAGGATCTATATACTTAGGTGGTCAAGTCTACACCTTGGGCACAGTAGAGCAAAGGGGCTATGATGCTATGGCCCTTAGCTGCTTATGTAGTGTGAGGAGGGGGACGGACACTCACCATTATCACCCCAATCAACGTTCCAGGAGTTGGCTACCAGCCAGTAGGGAACTCCATTCTCTACTCCCCAGCCCAGGATGCGGATGGCGTGGCCACCCATCATTTCACCGGCTTCATGCTTGTATACTCCTGAAGAAGAAAAAGGCAGTTATGACTGAACACAGGTCACTGACCAGCCCACAGATTCCTAAGACAACCACCCACCCAGTCAGAAGTAATAGGCTGACAGGAACCAACCAGTCTTCTACACGGAAACCTCTAGAAGGCTGGAGGAGGGGCTAAGATGAGCACTTGCTAGCCTGTCAAGGCCCTGGGTTGGGTCTCCAGCACCAACAAAACCAGTCTTTATCAGAGAGCTTTGATGTGTGATTTGAATAAGAATAGCCACAGGCTCAAGTTTAAATGATTTGTTACCAGGGAATGGCACCATTTGGAAGAATTAGAAGTGTCAGAAAGATTAGGGAAAGTTGCTTAGTGTGTCACTGAGGGGTGGGGGGGCGAGGGGTGTCCTCTGTCTGTCTCTGTGGTACCCCTTGCCCCCCGTTTGCGCATACACCTGTGCACTGAGATGTAGTTCTCAGCTACTGCTCCAGCAGGTCTGGGGAGTCACACTCCCTGCCATGATGATAATGGACTAACCCTCTGAAGCTGTAAGCAAGCCTGCATTAAATGCTGTCTAAGAGTTGCCTTGGGCCAGGCGGTGGTGGCGCACGCCTTTAATCCCAGCACTTGGGAGGCAGAGGCAGTTGGATTTCTGAGTTTGAGGCCAGCCTGGTCTACAGAGTGAGTTCCAGGAAAGCCAGGGCTACACAGAGAAACCCTGTCTCGAAAAACCAAAAAAGAAAAAAAAAAAAGAGTTGCCTTGGTTATGGTGTCTCTTCAGAGCATCAGAACAGTGAACAAGAAAAGGAGTGTCTCTTCACAGCAGAAGAACAGTTATCTATGAAAAGGAGTATTCTTTTATATTATGTGGCCATATATATATGTATGTGTATGTATGTATGGAGGGGTGTGTGTGGGTGTTTGAGAAAAGGTTTAAAAAGCCCAAGTTGGCCTTAAACCTCACAATTCTGCCTCTGCTTCCCGAATGCTGGAATTACATATGGGTGCCGCTATATCTGACTTAAATGTGTATGTGTATACTTTTTTAAAAAAAAAGACAGGGTCTTACTAAATATTCCTAGCTGGCCTGGAACTCACTGTGTAGATCAAGGAAATCTCAGAGATCTGCTTGCCTCTGCCTTCTGAGTACTAAAATTAATGGTGTACACTACCATGAGCAGCACTTCAAAAATATTTTTAGAAGCCCAGCGCATTCAAGAATGCAAATTTTAAAAAGCAGGACCCTACAAAAGTATTGTTTGGTTGGCTTTAAAATAAAGGTTCTGTAAACTCTTAAGTTATGAAGCAAACTTAAAACCCAAAGGCCAATTACTTGTTTCACACCCTGAAATTTCATGTCAGGGTTCATCTGTGAAGCTTTAGATAGCTTTCGGGAGTTTTCAAGTTCCTGCTCTGGGGTTCGCTGGAGAGGTAAGGGAGAGATGGGTGTATGCTACTGTCTGCTGACCTAAGCGGCACTACTCAGGTGTTCAGAGATCTGGTCAACCTTCCACTTCAGGGTGATTCACTTTTCAAACTGAAATGCATCTTAGGGTACAGGTGCTGTGATGGCTGTTCTTGGTTGTCAGCTTGACTACACCTGGAATTAACTAAAACGCAAATAACTGAGCACACATGTGAGGAACTGTTTTCTTAATTAAATAATTTGAAGTGGGAAGACCCACTTCTAATCTGGATCTCTGAGGTGGGAAAGATCCATCTTTAATTTGGATTGCCTGCTGGCAGCTTTTATAAAGGATATGGAAGAAAGAAACTCTCTCTTTGCCAGCTTGCTCTTGCTAGTAAGTCATTCCTTCACTGGCATTAGAGCCTTCTTCTTGAGACTCCAGCATATGCTGAAGACCAGCTGCAACATCTATCCTCATGGACTGAACTACTGGACTTTTGGACCTTCTGTTAGTAGACAGTCATTGTTGGAGTACCTAGATTAGACCACAGCCTGTAAGCCACTATAATTAATCCCCTCCAGATAAAAATAAAAACAGACAGACACGTTATTTAAGTTGTTCCTCTACAGCAGTGGCTTTCAGCCTTCCTAGTGCTGCAATCCTTACAGGTCTTTATATCGTGATGGCCCCAACCATAAAATTATTTTTGTTTCTACTTTATAACTGTAATTTTGCTGTTATGAATAGTAATGTAAATATCTGATACACAGGATGTATTTTCATTGTTACAAACTGACTGAGAACCACTGCTCTAGAGAACTCTGATTCTGTGTTGTCATCCCAGCTACATGGATAGCTGAGGTGATCTAGGCCTTTGCAAAGAGAAAGAGAAAGGACCACTGTCAAATGTGGATGAGAGACAAAGACAGGAGTGATTGCTGTAGAAGGCAGAAGCAACAGCAGAGTGGAGAGCTGAGCTGGGCTGGGCTGGCAAGGTTGAAGAGGGACCCTAGAGAGGCTCTGTGGAGACCAGTGAGAGCCAGTGAGCACAGAAGTAGGAGGCTGTGACCATCAGACCACCACCACCACAGGCTGACCATCTGCCCAGAGAAGAGAGCAGGAGGGAGACTGTCTCCAGTCCCCTCCCAAAGCCCCTGCCTTTCTCTCTGTGAGACCTGCTGGCTTATGTAGACTCTGAGCCCCTGAGCTCTGACTTCCTTCCAACCCTGGCTGCTGTTGGAGTCAACTGGTACCTGATTTGTAAGTCAGGAAGTCAGCAAACACAGTGAAGGCACCCTCCACTGGGCCGTTTTTGTAGATTTCCGCCATGATCTCCTTCTCGCTGTCAGACACACTGTAGGAAGAGTACCCTGCAGAAGGAACAAAGCTGGTCAGGGTGAGGAGAAAGTGCTTCCAGCCCTTCTAGGCCTCCAGAAGAGGTCAAGGAAGGCTTCCCTAGGAAGAAGTTAAGCACAGCTAGACAGTCCTAGAAGAGACTAAGAGGATCCCAAGATTAAAAACCAGGTTCAAACCCCTTGCAAAACAACCACCTGCTGGGTCCCTTGGAGCTCAAATGGGCTGAGATAAGACAGAGTTTGGACTAGACAAAGCATGCAGTGTGCATCTCTGTTCAGTGAGACAGGTGCGAATTACTTCAGCTTCCCTTCTTATTTTTTTTATTTTTTATTTTTTTGGAGTTTTGAGACAGGGTTTCTCTGTGTAGCCCTGGCTGTCCTAGAACTCACTCTGTAGACCAGGCTGGCCTTGAATTCAGAAATCCACCTGCCTCTGCCTCCCAAATGCTGGGATTAAAGGCATGCGCCACCACCGCCCGGCCCGCTTCTCTTCTTGCTGCTCCTGGGTTTTTTCCTGGGTAGCTCTGGCTGTCTTGGAACTCTCTATAGACCAGTCTGGCCTTGAACTCAAAAAGCTACCTGCCTATGCCTCCCAAGTGTTAGGATTAAAGGTGTGTACCACCACCACCCGTATCTGGACTCTTAACACTCAATGACTTTGGCTTCTTCCTCTTTCAGCAGGCCCCAGCTTACCAAAGTGCTTATCATCTTTGTAGGATGAGGAGTAGCCAGCTTCACAGTTCTTGTTGCACTTGGGAGTATCTCCTTCTCCAGTGCACGGGGGACGGCTGCCATTGACATGGTGCTCACAGGGAGGGATGGTGTATGGTAAGCAGCCTGACAGATGGAGAGGACAAGATGGTATTAACCTGCAACCCCCACTGCGAGGGGGACCCCCAGGCCAGACCATGTCTACATCCTGTGGACAGCTCCTGTATTGAGGATGGTCTGGCTAACTATCCATCAGCAGGCCCTCTACCCTTAACCTTCCCCTTACCATAGAAAAGGAAGCCACTAACACTTGCTTGTAAAATGCACCTGAGAGACAGGAATTGTGGGCAAACACTCACCTACATGAGAATTGTAGACTCCACCAGAAACCAGGCCTTTTTTCGTCCAGAAGTTCCATGCTCCAGAGGGATAGCCACCATTACAGCTGAAAAAAGAGCTTTTGTCAATGACAAGATAGCCCCAGCTGTTCCCATGCACCACTACATGGTACAAATGCCAAGGTCCCCCTGCGAATACTCTGTCCTCACAAGAATCCTCCCATAGTCCAGCATCCCAAGTCATCTTCACTCCACTGGCACCCCACTAGGGACTCAAACAAGCTCCATCTCTGTCCACAAGGACTCTCTTTTTCATGTCCATATCAAACAGAGCTTCAGCACTCTCCTCTTTCTGGAACAGTTGTTCTCAACTGCACAATTCCCTGGAGTAGAGTAGCCTCCCCACCCCTTACTGTTTTCATTCTTCTTCTTCTCTTTTTTTTTCCCAAGGCAGGGTCTCTCCTTGTAGACCTACCTGTCCTAGAACTTGTTATATAGACCAAACTGAGATCCTCCTGTTCTGCCTCCCAAGTGCTGAAACTAAAAGCATGCCATCACCAGGCCTGGGCTAGTTTGATTTCCAAGGTTTTAGTTATGTATACCATCAACTAAGGTCCAAACATGTTAAGTGGAAAATTAACTCAGCTTTAAATTTCATGCTTTCCTGAGCAGCATGATGAAATCTTGCACTCCCTTGGTCCATTCAGTATGGAACATAAAGCATCTCTGTCTAAGGTATCCATGCTGTATACTGTATACATGACTCTCTCTAGTCAATTGAGGGCCATCTTGGTTATGGAATCCACAGCTGTGACGTGGAGATGGGTTCAAGTAATCCCTGATGGTCAATTGTAAGGTCAGTGATACTGACAGCTCAGACAAGTCAAATGGAAACTGTAAATGCCTTCTTCATGTTTTCACATGAAGCACAAGTTCTGAACTTAATGAGAAAAATAAAAATAAAAACTGAGGTTGCTAAGATCTAATGACTCTTCTGTACCTTAAATCATGAAGGAAGATTCATGTTGCCTTCACTGCCACCTGTTGGACTCTAAAAATTACAGCCACAGTGAATGTGCCCCTGGTTTATTTAAGGCATGCTCTTAAGTTGGGGGCTGCACTTAGGAGAACCCCTTGCAAAACAAGGTGTGGTGTCCCTTGCAGCTCCAAAGCATTAGGCAGACTAGGGACGCATGAGTCGTGGCCTGGTGAGACACAGGCATTACCCTGTCTCTCTCTTCCTGCTGTTCCTAGACTACTGATGTGAGGTCTAGACACACACACTGTGGAACTCGCAGGAATGTCTAACCTGAACCACTGTTAGAGAATAAGGGCCAAACAACACCGGTGAGCACCTGAGTTATGAACTGAGTTTCTGGAACAGAAAGCCCACCCACCATCTGGAGTCCATCATCCTTGTAGAGCAGAGCAGTATGTTTCCCTGAACATATGGTTCCCTGAACATTCCCAGTGTGGTTGGGGGTGAGGGATGATGAGGGACAAATGAGGACAAAAGCCAGACATGGAACAGAAAACAAGCACAACGTTTGGAGACAATGTTCTTTCTGGCAGGACTCTATCCCCACAGAGTTGAGGCAAGTTTGGCTCCGAGAAGCTCAGCGGCAGCAGCTACAACAGAGTCTGCCTGCAGATCCTCATGTCTCCCTCTGTCTCAGCCATGAGAACAGCTTTCTCCTCCCCAGGGACCCTGAGTTACTCAGCACAAGGAGGAAGGGGTTAGGGTCTCAAGGAACAGGTGACCAACACTTACCCTTCCCCGCACTGGAAACCACAGCAGGTCAGCAGGTCCTCAGCAGACACCTCCACGTTCACTCGGCCATTGGTGTGAATGCAGATTCGGTCAGAAATAGCTTCCGCTGCCCCAAATGCCTGTGGTAATATTAAGTCTTGTTTGGTAAGAAACTTGTTTTGCCTGAAGCAGGGAGGGCCTTTGACCTTCTGAGTCGGGAGAGTCCCTTAGGCTCACACTTAGTGTTAAAGAGACTAATCCAGGCCTTCTGCCTGAGGACTTGTCTCACAAGGAGCAAATTCCAAGGCGGGAGCCAGCATGGGTGCAGGAGAGCCACCAAGAGTCAGAATAACTGAACTGTTTCATTTTGTGAGACTATGGATGGGCCACAGATGGCACCCCAATACTGGGAACACATTTAATGCACTAAACTATGTGCTTAGTGAAGTTCCATTTTCTGTCATGTGTGCTTTGCCCTAACTCAGAAATCAGCTTGCTGTCAGACACAGGGAAGAAACTGACTGCAAACATTTCCTCTCTTGCCTTGTCATGGCTGGTCCCTCCCCCGTATACCAATCACACCCCAACCAGTCTTCTTCCAGAAGCCCTCCCCACCAGCAGGGTCTTACCCAACAAGAGCCGCAGGACCCCTGGTCTCTAATCTGTTTGATGGTCGGGCATTGGGACCACTGTTCTCGTGCATCAAAGGTTTCAGGTAGGTTTATGTCGTCACCGAACCCAACCCTGGACAAAAGAAGGACTATTGCAACTACAATTCACTCCCCACGCCTGAAAGACTCCGTAGAGAGTGGCTGTCCCCAGTCTGGGCTGTCTCTCCCAGGCAGGAGGCAGCCTTTACCACGGTCCACTATTCTGTGTGACTCAGCACCATGTATACCTGCTCTACGCTCACTTAACAGGTATTTAGCCATCTGGCCCATGGGATATAGGTATGAGTTTTCTGCCCCCATCACAGATATCTGTCCTGATATTTCAAGGGGTTTCTCCCCCCACCCCCCACTTTTCTTTCCTTTCTTTTTTTTAAGATAGGATCTGGCTATGTAGCCCAGGCTAGCCTGGAATTCTTCACCCTTCCTACCTTGACCAACTCCTTAGTGAATGTCAGAATTACAAGCATATCTCATCACATCTCATTCAAGCTACTGTAAATAACAATAATTCTTCAGGCTTGTTTAGTATAGTGGGTATGCAAGGGAAAGCATCTGGGAGGCATCCTTTTCTGTCCAGCCCTGGGATTTATTTTATTTCCCTTGAAGAGACATTTAGCAATGCACTAGGGTAGATGTGCCTACCCTAGGTGTTACAGCTGTCTACAGAAAAACTCTTTCATTAGATCTACAGATGTAACAACAGCTGAGCACTCATCAAGCATGTGTGATATGTGAAGCATGTGTGATCAGTCCTCAGTCTGATGGCCGGGACTGCTATGGGGGCTGGATGTAGATGAACGTGTCTGGCAGGAAGATCCTGAGTTCAAGGCCAAAGGGACCCACTCAGGGCACAGTGTATCTCTGTGGCTGTTACCAGAAGGGAGAGCCAAGAAAAGCCCTGCAGTATGGGCCTTTGCTCCCATATGTGTTCTGCCCTGAGTCTAAAGCAGTCTTCTCCCACCTTTCTCACTTGGAGTTTCTAACATACTAAACTGTGCCTTGCCTTGTCTGACTTGAGTTAGACAACATCATCACCATCCTCCGATGGTCATCCTTAATCCTTGCTAAGAACAACTTCTGCATAAAAATGTCTATTGCAGTTTCCCAGAAAAAATAAAATATTAATGGTAATTTCTATGGATTCTCCTTGAATTATTCAGAGCTGAGTGTAGCCAGACCTCAGCTGCCAAGTCTGGGACCTCACATAGGATGCAGGAGTCTCTGAAGAACACACCTAGGGAATCCAGAGAGATTCCCTCCTACCTCTCCCTACACCCCAACACAAGCACCACTGTTCACAAGCCTGTATGTGGGGGCAGTGCCCACTCTAGGCTGTGTCACTCACCTTCCTGGCAGCTTGGGTCCACCCAGGACAGTACCACACAGCTTCTTCAGATAGCTTACGTCAACATTGTAGAAGTTGCGTCCAGCCTGAAAGAGAGTCACACCAGGACAGTCACCTACCCACCAAGGGGTTTCCCATGATGGGATGGGTAGATCAGGGGTCCTGTCCAATTCAGGGAGCTAGGGGACAGGCAGAGTGATTCAGGGTCAGAGCACAGTTCTCAGACCATAGTGTCTTCTCCAATCTTTCAGTTGTTAGCAGGAGACCTGTCACAGACCCGGAGGAAATGACGGCAAAAGTAGTTAGGAACCTCTTCATCTTCCATAGGAGCTTTCCCAGAGTCCACCTCGTTCCGAAGCCCACTTATCCCTCCATACACCTCCATGTACCAGGTTCACATGTATCTGTACTTCCATGCAGACAACATGGAGATCAGAGAGGAAGGTGGTGTCTTCCATGAGCTTCAGCTTCCAGAAAAGAATGCCCTACAGCCAGTCACCTCAGAGGCAGTGTGCACAAGGTGACCCAAAGCAGGGATCCACAAAGACAGACAGACACAGACAGACAGGAAACAACAGCACAGCCTACCTGCCATGTTGTATTCTGTTTGTTGATATAGTTAATCAGGTCATCCGACAGTGGGTGGAAGGAAGGCTTGTCATGGGCACTGGTCAGTGCCAGCAGGCAAGAGAGAAGGATCAAGGACCACCACATCCTGGAAACTGGATCTGCACTCACCTGGAAAGGATATAGGTGTCATCAAAACAATGTCCGTCCACACTCCGGCCTCCTGCTGTCTTCACGGCCTCACCGTGAAGCCCAGTTTGATGGGAGCTGATATCACACAACAATATATATGTCCCCTCCTGGTTATTTTTAAACTGTATGTACCTGATGAACTAAGTTTAAGAGGGTCTCTCTGGTGTTCTAGAGTTAGCTTTAAGCTGGATGTAATGTGAACCCTGTACTGGGAAGTCTAAGGTATTAGAATAGAGTTCAGCCTGAGCTATGTAGCTACAGCCTACCTCAAAAAAACAAAACAAGGGGGCTGGAGAGATGGCTCATCGGTTAAGAGCACTGACTGCTCTTCCAGAGGTCCTGAGTTCAAATCCCAGCAACCACATGGTGGCTCACAACCATCCGCAATGAGATTCGATGCCCTCTTCTGGTGTGTCTGAAGACAGCTACAGTGTACTCATAAATAAAATAAATAAATCGTAAAAAAAATAATCTTAAAAAAAAAAAAAAAAAAACAAGATGGGGGGGGTGACCGGGAGGGAGCAGTAAGCGGGATGTAAACTGAGTAAGTTAAAAAAATAATTCATTAAAATTAAAAAATAAAAACACAACTCCAAAACCATCAGTCTGTGAGTCCTAAGGAGAGTCAATGGGTAAGGAAACTAAAAAAAAAAAAAAGCGCAGGGTTTACAAGCCTCACTTAAAGACATGTAAAATGACACCTTAAACTCATTCCGTCTGTATGTATGTGTGCAGGTTTGAGGACAAGTTCTAGGAGCTGGCTCTTTCCTGTCACTTTAGGCTTAAGCTATCTCCCCAGGTAGGCTAGTGTCAGCTGCTGGTAACTAAGGAGCCACACTGACTGTGCCAGGGACACCACGCTCCCAGAAGCCCCTCTGATATTTCCTGTCACTCAAGTGCTTTGCTTCCAGCTCCTGAGAAGGAAAACTACTACAATACCTTGGCCCTTAGACCTTGAGAACTGACTCAGGAGACCAGTCATTTCCAGCTCAACTCGTGAGTCACCCTCTTGGGCAAGTAGATAATAAAGAAAGGCCAGGCCTTTCCTGGATGCTGACATGTGGTTTGAACCTGGTGGGAGCAACAGTAGGTGTGGGTAGGCTGGGACCCTGCCCTGACTCTAGGGCTTACAGGAGTGAGTGCTCTACATCAAGGTCAAAGGTCGAAAGGACACTGGAACACAGACTTACTCCTCCTGCCTGCTTCCTGAGTGCTGGATCATAGACATGAAATGTACTGAAGGAAAACTAAAAATTCTCAATTAAGATCAAGCAGCAGAGTTGTGTCCTCAATGAGTCAGAACAATAGGCTGGTGTGTGTGGTAGGTACACAGGATGGAGTCTGACTCTATAAGAATAATGTGTATGGACAGAAAGAATATTATGGAAAAGATCCAATGGAGGCCTTCTGGGACATCCTTACAATATATTATAAAATGCCTAGTGACACTGGCTCAGAAAAGTTCTATTTTAAAAAAAGAGTCAGCCCACTCAAAACTCATCTTGGGTGTGAGAAGAGTGTGTGTGGGCTAGGGAAGAGGAAGTGACACACTCCTGCAGATGTGCTTACACAGCTGGCTGCCTGTCCTGGGAAAACAGGGAGGGGCTAACTCTGTACACCTGGCTCCTCAAAAACAAACGTGCTACACAGAAGGCAGACAGCCCTCAGAAACATGCAAGTGAGGCAAGCTTGTAATCCTAGGTCTCAGGAGGATGACCCCTGGGGAGCAAGGCTTCAAGACTATCCTTGGCTACACTGTGATACACAGAATGAAACAAGTAAAACAGCTGCACACAAAACTCCCTAGAAAGCCTAAAACTGGCATAAAACATAACCCTTTAGGCATCACAGTAAAATTAAGTCTTATGGCAAGGAGATGGCTCTGCAGGTAAAGGGGCTTGCAGCCAAGCTAAATGAGTTTGATCCCATGATTAACGAAGGAGAAAACTGACTCTTACAATGACCGAGATATACGAGAAGAAGAAGAAGAAGAAGGAGGAGGAGGAGGAGGAGGAGGAGGAGGAGGAGGAGGAAGAAGGAAGAAGGAAGAAGGAAGAAGGAAGAAGGAAGAAGGAAGAAGGAAGAAGAAGAAGAAGAAGAAGAAGAAGAAGAAGAAGAAGAAGAAGAAACAAAAAACAGAGCTCCCTTTAAAGGCTTTGTATCCTCTATAAAACAAGACTTGGAGCTCAGAGGACTTGGGGCTGAGATGCAGCTGAAATTGTGGGCTTAGCATACCTGAGACTCCGAGTTCCAACCCTAGCACTACACACTCTCACATCAGAAACACAGGACGATCACAATGGGGAAATGGATACAGTGACAGTGGAAAATGGACTATCACACATAGACTCACCCCAACTGGCCTGGAACTTGCTACACAGACCAAGCCAACCTTGAACTTACAGTGACCTTCAGGTTTCTGCCTTTTGAAGGATGTGACTGCAAGTGCACCCCAGCACACCTACCAAGGAATCCACTCTTTGATGAAGAACCACAGCCTTGAAGACTAAGACCTTTGAAAACGGCCCTTGAATGCATTACCCACTATCTCCCGACCCACCATCTCGTGCCACCAATAAGGGTTCCTCCTTACGAGCTTTCTCTCCAGCACACTTATGGTTGCGTTTCCAGTGACTCACAGACAGCTGTCTCACATGACCGTGTGTCAGCCATCACACGGCCTCCAATCACACTGTTAGGTAATTGTGTCTCCTTTCTTCTTTTCAGCAGCACTCTCTGCCTTGTACTTGGATCTTGTGTGTGTGTGTGTGTGTGTGTGTGTGTGTACAAGTATATACAAGTACAATACATGTGTGTACCTCTGGGGACCAGGACAACCACAGGTGCTGCTGCCCAGCTTATTTCCAAACAAGGCCTGGACCTTACCAAATAGGCAGGGCTGTCTACCCAGTGAGCCTGCCTCTGCTGCCCCAGTGCTGGAACTAATTACGAAGTGTACACCAACATGCCTGGCTTTTTTACATGGGTTCTGGGAATCAAACTCAGATCCTTATACAAACTCTTTTTCAGCTAAGTCATTTCCTAAGTCCAGAAACTGATTCCTCCAAGACACTGATGCAGAAACCCTAGAGTATCCATCCACTCCCTAGGGTGGGAGTCTAAAGGAAGGGGCTGGCAAATCTGAGGATCTCCTATGTTGAAGGGCTGACACGCTTGGGTTTACAACATACTGTATGTTAGAGGATAAGCATGTCCTGAGATGCCCCACAGGAACTTGGCATTTGTTGCGCTGTTAAATATAAGACAAGTAGAAAGATCCATTTCCATGGTAACTTGAAATTTTAAACAAGTTAAACAAATTTTAAATTTTAAACACGATGTCTTTTGGTTTCTGCCATGGCAAAGAACACATGTACTCCCATTGTCATGGCCACAAGGGTTCCAAGGTTCTGGAGTCTAGATATCCTGGCCACTGCCGCTGCAGGACACTTTCTGGGAAGCTGGGTCTCCATTGGTTCTGCAGCCTACCCCTGGCCCCTGGACTTTATTCGCCCACCCATCATCAGGGATCTATCCAGCTGCAAACCTACGAATTAGGGCTTCAGGAGCTCAGCAGTCTCCACCCAATGTCTAACCCTACTCATACCAAGATGAACCCCAGAGGAAAAGACTTCACCCCCAAATACACAGAATTATCCACTGCTCCTTAAGAGGCTGGGATGAGGGGTGGAATCAAGATGGGATTCACTTGGCCACCAGCCACTGTGTCTGCACGAGGAGGCTAGGCTTTACTGTAGACTGGACACCAACATCCAGATCTTGGTTCTCCACTGTCATCTGTGGGCACTGCCCTTCTCAGAGGCTCAGACCCTGCACTTCTGAAGTCAATGTGCACCCCATTTCTAGGTTATGTGAGAAGCAGAGGAAGGTAGGGAAACCCTGCATCCGTGGACACAGAAAGAAAGAGCTGCTAGCTAGAGAAGGCTCAGCCCCTCTCCCCCTAAACTCACGTCTTTCAGCTTGTGATGGCTAATTCCAGTTTGATCCAAACCCACTCTCAAAGCCTCCACTTGGCAGGACTCAGAGTTAAAACAAGCTTCCACTCTCAGTAAAATCCACAAGCCCTGTCAAAAGGCTTGAGTCCTGAGACTGTATGACGCCTGCTGTCCCTACCTAGGGCACCAGTAACTGATTCCCTGAAGATGCCAGTCTTTTCAGACATCACACACACAAGCGCTTTGGTGACACAGCCAATAGTGACAATGACAAGCTAAGTGTCCATAAACCTGCCAACCTGTCACGGGTTCCATGACTTTGCCTTAAATAGCCATGGGCTTTCGCTTCCCCTAGTTTAGCAAGCACTTCCTTGTATTTCCCCATTCTGTGATTTTCACTTTAGTTAACAGAAAGTCTTTATTTCACAAAAGAGGGGGGCTGGAAGAGCTAACCTTCCTCCTCTTCCAGGTATAGAAGTAGAGGGAAGTTGTGGGCACAATTTATTTCTAGCTCAAGTCAGCTGGTCCTGGGTTCTACTACCCTCTTTCCTTTTCAAACCTTTGTAGCAATCAGTGTCTCAATGCCCTGCTATTTCTGTCACTGTCACATGAACAGAATGGCCAGTGAGTGGACTGCTGGTCCCATCAACAGCAAAACCATTTCCCAAACTAGCTGGATGCCCTTCCTCAGACAGACGTACTCCTGGGACTCTAGAAGAAAATGGCATAAACATCCAAGGAGAAGCTGACCCCGGGGTGAAGGAAGCATAATGTAACGGCACACTAAACACTGGGGGACAAGCCTGACCAAAAAAAGCTTTCTTGAGTAGTCACACTCTCAGGCAGACTAGAGTCTAAGTCTACATTCTAAAGGCTGCAAGGAGACAGAATATGTAGACCGAAAGTCCCACAGGCCACCTGCCACATCCTGGCACAGGATAAGTGCACACACCCAAAGCAGTCTTCATCCATCTCTCCCTGATTGTGGTTCATGGGACTGACCTCTCACCCACCAGCTCTAAC